TGTATGTATGTATGTATGTATGTATGTATGTATGTATGTATGTATGTATGTATGTATGTATGTATGTATGTATGTATAGATATTTCCTGATGAATTAAAAAAATAATAATAATAAATTAAGGAGAGAAAAAAACTCAAGCACTTACGACCAAGGTGCACTATATACAATTTTATAAACAACATCAAGAGCATGTGGTGATACACAAAGAAATTTATTAGAATTTTGTTCCTTTACTTCAGGGGGAACTTTAGGTGTAGTTTCTGCGTCAAAAAGCAACATTTTATAAATAAGTTGTGATAATCTTTTTTTTTGTTAAAGAGAAAAAATAATGTCAATATAATTGATTAATAAAAGTAAATTCCCAGTTAATAATATAAAAATAAATATGACGTTTAATATTTACCTATGTTTGTGATTAATAGTTATAAGATCTAAAAGTTTATATCCAGCAGCACCACCTTTTAAGAAAGTTGTTTCAGGAAAACCAAGTTTTCCTGTTTCCACCAATTTATCTGGCACCAAATAAACATACAAAGTATCAGCCAATATATTGTGTTTCGTCTGGCCGAAAATTGCCATTTTCATCATTTCTTCAAGGGGTAAATTACGGAAAAGATCATGATTTGTGACGTTATCTAAATAAATAAAGAAAACAAATAAATAAAATAAATTGATAGATAAATAAATAAATATATACTAATTATTAACTTTTATATTTGTTAGGAAAATAAGATTGTAACTCTTTTATGGAATTCAAATATGATAAAGCGGGTAAAAGTTGAGGATGACGCGCTTTAAGATTACTTCCACGTATATTAGAATGCTGATGAAGCATCTAGAGATTATTATTATATGAATAAATTATTTTTTGTGTGCGCACACTAAAATATATTAATATTAATATTCATATAAGTATGACTTACTGCACACTGTAAAGATAAATCTCTTAAATAGAATGCATCTTTTGATACAGCTTGTTGTTCATTATATAATTTTACAAGCATGCTAAATAACCTTTCATCAGATCCTAAATCGCGTGGAATAATTCCTGATCCAATTCGTTCAATTTCTAATTAAATACATGATTTTGTTTTTGTTATATATATCAAAAGTTAAACATAATATATTGATTTATCCATTGATATCATTTATAATAAGCGGGTAATGATGTTAGGATACGAAAAAGTTGTAAAAGTAACCAAATTAAGATATTGTCTTTTGGTACGGTGTTAAGGTGATCCGAAGAATGTTCGCCATATTTTGGATAAACCATATAATAAAACTTGGTTACAACTTCTTCATATTTGATATCACTTTAGGAAATAATTCAATTAGAAAATTTGAATAAGTTATATATATAAAATATTTAAGTATTTTTTTAAAATAATTACTCAGAAGCAACTAAACCATATAACTGATCACCAAGTTCAATCATTAATTCAAAAAAATCCAAATTATCAGGAAAAAGCATTCCTTCTTTGGAAATATCTCCAAGATCTATATATATACATATAATTTTTACTATTAATTTATTTATAAATATATTATTATTATAATTACTATTATTAATAATATAAAAAGAAGACAAACCCTGTCTTGGTTCGTCAAAGTTGGATCGTTTTTGTATGGAAATAATTACATCATGAACTTTACTAAAAAGTGCTTTACGAATAGGTTCTGAACGATTAATTTTTTTAATCATTGCTTTAATTTCATCAATTGGAGCTCTCTGAAATAATAAATCACGAAATCTAGAAGTATGACTTGCTGCACGGCCTTCTTCGATAAATAATTCCTGATATATAAATATACATATTTTTGATTTGAATATTTGTAAAATAAAAAGGATTTTTGAAGGAATAAAAAAACATACGTAATCACATGAAAATGCTTTATAACTTGGTATCTTGGCCAAATCATTATATTCATGGGGTCGACTATATTTTATATTTTGTTATAATATAAAATATGTATATATATATATTGTAATTGTTACTATCATTATTATATAATACCTGTATTGAGATATTAAAGGCCATGAAGCATCTAAGTATCACATATAGAAAATATTAATATTTAATTTAATATAATTTTTCAAGAAAAAAAAAATTCTAAAAATTACCTGGTGGCATCATTAAAAATGCAAGACGTCTTCGACGATTTGACAAATCATTAAAAACAAATTCTTCCAAGGTCCAATGAACTTGTAGAAAACAACTTCTCACGGGAATGTTATAAATTTCTTGTAACTAATGATTAACAAGCATTAATAACAATTAGCAACAATTAATGATTATTAATAACAATTAACAATAATTTACCTGTTCAATTACTTGGTAATGTGAAGTATATCCCACGCCACCACAACCTTTACCAATCAAAAGAGCATCGATAAGCAATTTTCCTTTATTGACACACTCAAATTGTATTTTGTTAAGTGACACAGGCAATTCGTCAATTTGATGTAAAATTTTCTTTATAATATCAGTTGCTGAATATGGTTGAAGGTCAATTATTGTTTGAGGGTAATCTTTTAGAAAAATAAGCATAAATGAGGTTATCCCTAACCATATTTCATGACAGGATATATCAATATAATCTTTAACATAATCAAAGATTGTTGAAATTGTTATTTGAGGTGCATTTTTGAGAATTGATGAAGTATCTGAGATGTCACCACCAAGAGCTAAAGTTAATCCAAAAGTTGCTGGTGAATCAGTGATCATTTTTGCAAACAATGAAAGTATCAATGAAACTTTTTTCCAGGATGGTGGTGGACTTTTCAGGACATGGAGAATATGGAATATTAAGTCACCCTAAATATAAATACAATTTAAAATTTAAATAATTTCATATGTCATAAATATATATATATATTACGGTACCGTGCTGCCAATTGCCAGTGCTGCTTTAAAGAATTCCTGTACAAGTGTTTTTATGGCATCGGAATTTTCTAATTCTAATTCATTGACAGAATAAAGGTCGTTTTTATCTTTTTTTAGCCATTTTGTTGGAGGTGTAGGAATCCCCGAAAATAAACGCTCCGAAGATTCTGAGTGAAAATTTTCCTTTTTTTGTTCAAAATGTAAAAAAAAATATCAATATATATATAATTATAAAGGTGTATGTATATTATATACATAAATACAAGTACCTGTACTGAATTATCTCTAACCCTTAATTCCTCTTTAAGTAATTTTTTAAAATTTAAAGCAGGATCAGGATTAGTTGTATTCATAACGTTAAATAAGTCTAAAGTTTTAAATACAGCTCGAATCACATTGATCTCGATCAATTTTTATACAGTATTTTGAAGCCTATCACGTGGGTACACAAAGCGTTTTTTGGACTCTTCATTAATAAAAATGATAACGAATCAAGTAATGAAAATCAATTAATGAAAAATGATGACGAATCAATTAACTAATGAAAATAATGAATCAATTAATGAAAGTAATGACGAATCAAATATTGATAGGGATAACAGATTTAGATTTTAATTGCAGTTATTTTGTGAAAGTCTTTCAAGATGGTGTGAATAATTATAAGCCTTCTGTATGTCGTTCTGTTTACTTGAGGAATGCACCACGAACTAGAAGACTTCATGCTGCACAAGCCAAAGAAATGGCAGAAGATAATGAACAATTATTTAAGTCAAAAAAAATTTTTTTTTATTAATATTTTTTTGCCACTGATCAACATAGTAATAGTCACACAAACTTAACTTTTTATTTATTATGTCTTCAAATAATAGTACTAGTACTAGTGATAAAAGTGACATAGAAAATGTTTTAAAGGATCTAAGTAATGGGTTAATAAAGAATCCAAATCAACCATTATTTAAGGTAATATTTAAAAATTTAGAGAGTTGGCCATTTTTACCAAATTCATTACAACAACAGCATACTACAAGAATAACAATACTTGATTCATCATTTAACCCACCTACAAATGCACATTTAGCATTATTGAAAAATTCTATCATCAATACCTATAATGACAAGTCACAACAACAACTTTTTCATGGAAGTTTATTACTTTATTCTATAAATAATTCAGATAAAATTCTTTCATCATCAGATGCAAAACCAATTGATAGATTAATTATGATGAAGATTTTAGCTTCTTATATTATTAATTCACCAGAATCGATTAATAATCCAGCACTTCAAAATATAGCAGTTGGAGTAACTACTCATGGAAGATTTATAGATAAATCTAATGCCATACATTCTTTATTTAATAATAATAACAATAATAATATTTCATTATATTTTATTATGGGATTTGATACTATTGTAAGATTATTTAATCCGAAATATTATAGTGATATTAGGAAGGAATTAAGTGAGTTCTTTATCAAGAATTATATCATATGTGCAAATAGAGAGGGTTATGATAATGATGAAATAGAAAAATTTTTTAATAGTGAAATTGTCAAAGAAATCACTAATGATAATAATAACAATGATGAAAAAAAGATTTTAACAATCATTTTAAATGATGAAATTTCAAAGATTTCTTCAACTAAAGTTAGAGAATTAATAAAAAATCAGTCCGACAAAGAATCATTGCCCCAGGATAAGTTTAATGAATTATTATATGAATTGTCTCCTAAGCCTATAATAGATTATTATATACAACAAAACCAGGCAATGTTACAGGAAGTTCCAGAGGACAAAATTTAGTTATTATTATTATACTTGGGGCAAACCTCAGTGACACTTAATCATCACACACTTAAAATTACAATTTATATATTAGAACCATGTTCTGATTAAGTGTCATTGGGCTTTGCCCATAGAATTTGCAACACTTTCTAAATTCTTATTTACATTTACCACATTACAAATTTACTTTATTTGTCTTTACTTGATAGTTTTGTTTTATTTTTTTTTCTTTTCTTAGGAGTAATAATATTAGTGGTGGTTATAAATGGGGTAATCAAGTATAATTCCTTCAATAAATTCTTTGAAAAGATCAAGATCTTTAACTAACTTTAGAATGACAGCCAATTGAAGAAATTTTTTACTTCTTTCCTTGTTTATTTTATAATATACTGGTTAAAATTTTAGATTTTGAAAGAGATAAAACATGGAAGGAAATTGGTTTATGCTACTATTACAAATATTTAACCAATTTTAGAAAACATTTTACACTGGCAAAGACATTATCAGAACTAAAATTTCTATCAGTGTTATTCACTTAATCAATCAGATTGATTAATAGGGAGGGAAGTGCTGAACAAAGAAATTCCAGGGATTAAAAGAATATCACATGATTGAATCAATAGCCTGATGAAAAATGTTGTTTACACATTTCTAATGTATGTGAAAATTAAATTAGCCAATCAAAAGGAATTTTGCACCAAATCAAGTAACTAATCAAAATAGTAGATATTTCTGCAAGTGTGAGCAAATAGGTGATGGTTTTGGATGCAATTGTTCTGGCAGCCTTTTATATTTTTCAATATAATGCATTAATTGAATCAGTTTTTCTTTGTATGTGACATTGGGATAGTTGGCCAAATACGTAAATCAAAATTATGTATGGTTAATCTTGTATAAAAATTAATTGTGAGTATACCTGGAGTAGCTTACAAAGGAATGTTCCTATTGCTTTAGATTCTGTTAGTTTAGTTGAAATGA